GCGGCACATGGCTCGAAAGCAGCAGAGCTTTTATTATGCCACAGTCGACTGCTTCCACTCCTTCCGGGCGTGAGTATGTGGGGGAAAAAAAGCAGCGCTGTTTTATCATACTAGATACATTTGAAAGTTCTGTTATAATGCTACTCTGTGCGGTCGTCACCGGTCTATTAAAACGCACAACATATTAAAGCATCTTTGGTGTTTCCATGTTTTCTACAAAACAAAACCGGAAATCGAGGGGTTATGACGTCATTGGCAGGCGACAGAATGACACTATAGACACGCTCCGTGTCACTAGTTAAAATTGCTTATTTCTCTGGATTTAAGCATTCTTCGAAACATTTGGGATAATGTAAGTACACAAGTCAGCAAAATATATAACACTGTTCTAGTGGTTTTTGGATATTTTAATAAAAAAATCTTACATATTGTGCCTTGAATAATCTGAGGTTCTCTCCAGGGATGTTTCGTCACATTTCTGCAATTGGGGATGATTGCTGTGCAGTATGGGTGTTTCCTTTTGCCTAAACATCCATCAATTCATCTTCAAGTGAGTGGCGGAGGAACCTAAAGTTGCAGCCAAGTCCTTGATTTTTTTCCACAGGGAAAGTGAATGGCTCTCTAATGAAATGTCCAGCAAATTTAAGTTTCTCAAAATCTGCAAAACGCTAGATGAATTCTTCTTGCATTTGATTGACAGTTGCAACAAATCTTTCTCTCTGTTGTATGTCCAATACACCCTCACTCGCGTCATTCAGCAGTGGGTAATGAGTTAAATCCCCATCTTTGAGTTGTGCAGTGTACAGTACTAGCTTCATTTTGAAACTCTCAACACAGCCCAACAGGTCATCAACATGTTTTCAGTCACCTTGAAGTTGCAGATTCAGTTCGTTTAGGTGAACTGTGATGTCTGCAAGAAAAGCAGGATTTTTCCCCCCACTCATTGTCTCTCAAGACAGGAAATCTATCTCCCTCGCCAATGTCATCAAGAAAGTGAACTATCTTGGGGAGTACAGCCAGAAAGCGATTTAAGACTTTTCCCCAACTTAGCCATCTCACTTCACTGTGCAGAACGAGGTCTCCATAGGCACCGTTCAATTTCTCCAATAATGCAACAAAACGGCAATGCATTAGAGGGCTTGCTTGAATGAAGTTGACCACCTTGACCACAGTGTCCATGATCTTCATGAGGTATCCATCACCTAACTTACTGCATAGTGCTTGCTGGTGCACAATACAGTGAAATGCCAACAAGTGTAGCGATTTCAATGCCAATAAATCTTCCGTAGTCTCAAAAGTGCTTGAATTCACATCTCACCCAAATACAAAGCTGAGCAATGTCTCCGGTGTCTGTTGATTCATCCGCAGCCAAACTGAATGCTGAAGCAGTGGCTAGCATAGTTTTTAGTTATTCTGTCAAGTTCTCAGACATTTCTGAAATTCGACGTGTAACTGTAATTACTGAGCTGTAAACTTTTTATCCTGCGGAGTATCTCACTCTTGTTGCTCAGATAATCAAAAAGACATTGTGATTCCAGAAAACAGTTTTTAACTAGTTCCCCATCACTGAATGATTTGCCGTGTTTGGCAAGGAGCCATGAAATTTTGAAAGTTGCTAATGTCACAGCCTGGGACACTTTTAAACTAGCTCGCATTGTATTCAGTTCAGCAATCGCATTTTTTCAAGACTAGTTATCTTGAGGGCTCTCTCCTGAGATCCAGGCGGATATTTCTTGTCAAATGCTGCATGGGTGGTATCGAAATGTCTTTTGACATTGTAGGTTTTGCATACGCCCAGTACTTTACTACAGAGCAAACAGAAAGGCTGTCCATCACACTCATTAACAGCAAACTGATTCTTCCATTCTTCCAGCACTCTCCTACCTTCACTGCTGATGCTACGACTTTTCTTGTTTGTACGTGTTCCTTCGTTGGCATTTTCCACATTTCGTTTTTCTCCCCTAATAACAAATTTGTCCATTTTGATGCTTAATTTTACAGAACTAATGGCTGCTGATGACTATTTGAAGTGAGTTCTGCCAAAGCGCATGCACTTGTGTTTGCTAAATGCATAATTACGTGAGTACATATTAGGCATGGGCCGATTACCGGTTTCAAGGTATACCGTGATTTGAAAATTTCACGGTTTCAAAACCGCTAATATTTTCTGTTATACCGTTCCTGCGGTATGTGCTGTTTTTCATGTCTCCTCAAAGACGGAAAGTGTAGGAATCCCTCAGGTTGAGTGCAGTGTAGAGAGTAACACGACCCTCCTCCTTTTGTTGGTGCGAGCGAGCGGTCAGTCACGTGTGTGTAGGATGGCTGAACTTAAGGAGCTTCCCCTGGAACTTACGCGATTGGCAACCCGGCCGTTTTTTGTCTTATTGCAAGCAACATGTCTCTGTTCTGGACTTGCACAGAGCCGTTGAGCTCGGTAAAGCCGTATTTGACAGCCACAGTCTAATAGATTACCCCTAGATTCAATATGAAACTCTTAGTAAAACAAAATAGTGGTCATAATCATGCTGAGGCTGTGTTGTTGTAAAAGTTTTTAATATATGCCGACTCGCGCATTTGATCCGCTCCGTGCGATCCGTGGGAGCCAAAGTCCGGATCAGACTGTGTGCGCTGCCGTGGTTCGCGTGAAACAACATGAAACCAGACCTCATTTGCACCAATCGAAAGCATATTTACACTGTCTGAATCGTTCCCTATCACCTACATTGTGCACTTTGAGCCATTCACCGTACAGGAAATACTACACTGTGCACAAGCGACCGATCTTAGCTGCAGCTTCAGCATCTATTTATAGTGCAGGGGGCGGGCGCTTCGGATTCTAGAGAGCACTTGATTGGTCAGAAGATTTGATGAGAAGATGAAGTACGATCTGACGTCAAAAAAATCGTTGAGCCATTTTGGCGGAAGTGACGAACTGCAAGCTTTGAATGCTTATATCTTATAAATGCTAATTTTGTCACTGTTTTGGAGCACACTGCCTTATAGATAACCTTAAGACTAACATATTGATACTAACACCCAAAAAAAGTTTAATTTTGATTTCATGGGGACTTTAAAGCAGTGTTTCAGCCGCAGCGCTGCTTTGTTTACAGCGGTAACCAAGGAAACGATGTATCTGGTGTTCCAGAAGCGCCTCCTGCTGTCAGAGAGTGAATCTGCATCTCATTCAGAGCTTCTGCTGTTTGCTTTGTTCAGGCATGTAGTATAATTTCACAAAGTTAGTCAGCACATTCTGTTTTTGCTTCAAATTGGGTTATTATTAAATAAAATTATGTGTATGAAATTATATAACTAAATGATATGAAATTATATGTATATGAAATTATATAATTAAATATGAAATTATATGTATATGAAATTATATAACTAAAATTAAAGAACTAATTACAGATTTAGGTTAAATAAATATGTCAGTCTTTATTTTTCTTATTTTTAGGAAATAAATTAAAGAAAAAATTCTACTGTTCCTAATATTTGTATGTTGCTCAAAAACAAAATATATTGTGTTCAGCGGAAAAAGTTTTGTTTTTTTTAACCAGTCATTTAAAAATAACACATTTTAGAGCTGTAATGACAATACCGTCATACATGAAACTGTGATATTTTTGCTTAAGGTCAAAATCTCATACCGGCCCATGCATAGTACATATACGCATACGTCTGAAAATAATATATGAAAACCAAAATTATTTTATATGACAAAAACATTATAGCTCAAACTTATATTTGTTTAGTACATTTTTAAATTAATTTAAAAACTAAAATGAATTGTAAAACGAAGTTATTTTTTAATTATGTTTGGCATGGTGGGCTGCATTTGGATTTGTGACGGGCCACGGGTTGAGAACCACTGTGCTAGATGGACGCGTTTGACTGTTTTTTCAGCGTCTCATACATGAAACAGTTCTAAAATTGCAGTGCTCAACTTTTAAAAGGCCTTGCATATTTTCCCACTCCACTGCAGCACCTCGTGCTTTTCAGCACAAGCGCTTTCTGTGTGAATGGCCCCTTACACCTGCTGATCGTGTGTGCCTGTGTGAAGGATCATGGTTAATTCACCAGTGGCTCTTTTCAGGTTTCATGTTCCGAGAAGCAAGAACAAACATCTATTATTTATATCAGGTGTCATTTAATGCCAGCATCACACACACTGTAATGGTTTTTATACTGAGCTAATCATATTTTAATTGTTATAATTTAAATTCTTATAATGTAGGGCACCTGAAACACAAACACACACTTATGAAAATAAGCTAAGGTCATAAACTTCTATTAATTTTACTTAAAGCCAATTAAAATGACTACAAACACTAAAAGAAATCATTTAGCATGTTTAGAACAAAAAGAACATCATAAAGAACATTATAATAAAATTAAAAATATATTTTTGAGGACTTGAGGATGTCCATGAGTGAAGGTTTGTCAGAGTAACTGGTTTGTCCAGTTTGTGCTGAACGTCTGAACTCAAACAATCATCATTCACACAAACACATTCATTCATTCATAACAGCTTTGAACTTATCGACACTATATAGTCCAGACCAAACACACACTAATACTGCTGCAGCTGACCTCTGACCTCACAGCGCAGAAGCACACACTCACAAGTGACCGCTCCAGCTGACCTCACCTGTGAGCTCTGACCTGACAGCAAACGTACACACATACACCTGTGACCACAGCAGCTGACCTCGCAGCACAAAGACACACACACACACACACACACATACAAGTGACCGCTGCAGCTGACCTCTGACCTTACAGCAAACACTCACTCTCACTCCAGTGCGTCCAGCTGCAGTTGATCACAGTGCAGAAGGAGAATGATGATGATGATGAAGACAATCAGATGGTCTGGTATCCGGCGTGTGTCCTCTTCCTGCCAATCAGATACGCGATGAGGACGATCAGCACCAGACCGGCCAGAGCCGCTCCCACGATGATAGGGATGAGCATGTTCTCCTGATCCACACGACACTCCTCCGCTGCACATACACAGAGTTTTTAAAATCAAATTGAAAAAATAAAATAAATACCGCATGCCAGTACAGAAGAAACTCACAATTTTAAAATAAATCAGGTATCTCAAATTTATTTACTTAATATATGAGCTGTAGCTCGCATTCGACTGCAAAACAGAGGAAGTGCAAGTTTAAATACTTCAGAATTTACATAGGCTATGTATATTGAAATTGGTTTATGTTCTCATATATCAATACCCATGAAGTAGAGGTCAGTCAATACTGGATTTTTCTGATGCGTTTAAAGAAAGGCAATAAAAACTGCGCCGATACTAATAAAATCATTTATGCATTTATTAAAAGTTAATGTTCTGTCTTTCTTTCCTGTGATGGGGCGATTCTGAGAGAAAATACAAGAGTTTACCTTGATTTAAATGTCAGATACTGTTTACTATGTAACCAAAACACCAATAATAGGCAAGAAAAAAAAAAGATTTAATGCATAATGAGGGACTTTTAATTATCAATAAGGCCGAAATACACCAGAACTCTTATTTTAAAATGTCTACACTTCCACTAAACAGTCTACACTACTGCTTCAGCTGTTCATTTAAACAGATAAGAGACATAAAATATGCATCTTAAAACCATCTACAAGATTTAATAAAATAATAAAAACCATAACGTAAACATTGTCAATTCATCAAAGGTGCATCATAAGCGATTGTAAAAATGTGCAGAATTCACTGATTGTGAACTGCTCTAAAACTGCAATCCTGTTCAATGTGCAACAGCGCTGCAATTTATGTGCTTTGAAATTTGCAGCACTCACAACTATTTAACTGAATCATCGCCTTTAGAAGTTTAATAATCTTTAATAATCATAACTGTATATCATGGCAACTCTTTTTCCGTCTCCAAATTTAAGACCTCTTCAAATTACAATTAAGAATTTTGCTACAGTACTTAGGAATTCACACCAAAAACAAATTAAGACTTTTAAATACTTTGTAATAACCTGCAGAAACCCTGTGATTGGTTAGTGATGTCATTCTATTTGATTTGAATTTGATTTCTGTTACACACTGAATTGCAACATTAATGAATGTTTCAAACACTTGTCTGTTATTGGTCAGTCAGTCATATATCCCGCCCCAAACTCGCATGATTGGTTGAGTCAGAAGTAGACATGTCACTCAAACAAACAGATCAATGTTGTGAGAGCGTCAGTGTCTCACCCTTCAGGAATCAGACGGAATGACTGACTGACAGTGACACTGAACATGAAACAGACCAACTGAACAGCTGATCACATGACCGCTGGTCAGTACCTGCAGCAAAGCGGTTTGCAGTGACGTTGAAAGGCTGCAGTTGCAGTCTGAAGGTGTTGATGGAGAAGGTGGGCACCACAGCAAGCATCTGCTCCACACTGCACATGTACGAGCGGCCCACGCTGCACTGCAGGAAGTTCAGAGAGCCGTTTCCCTCCACAAACCAATCTACAGTAATCACACAATCACAACATGAAACATTTGATCAATAAGACCTTTATTACTGACATCAGTCACGTGAGAGGAAAACAATCAATCACACAGAAAAACAATCGTTCTGTGTTTGATGCGCTGCTCCTATGTTAAAACTAAGGTGGATGGAGGATTCACAAACCAGTCATGGATCAATATGTTCAAATAATTTTATAAATATTACTCAGGCGTGTTTAAGAACATGAAATATATAAAAAATTGAATGAGACAAGACTTTAATGCAAAAAAAATGTAAAAGAATTTAAACCAATCTGTAGCAAAACAAAGGTAAAAAATTATATTTAATGATTAATCAGAGTGTTTTATGAAACACCTATCATTATGATTCAGCTTTTTAACCTCAGCTGGGTGATTCAGTTTTTTGAAAATCAGTATGAATAAATGTCAACCATGGGCGTCGAATATGCAGGGCAAGTGGTTTCCACTATTAATAAAAAGCAAATTAGTTTTTTCGGGTAAGTGTGTTCACGCAGAGTTTCTCAAGGGCCAGTGGGAATAAATCTAGATTCAAATTCATAGAGACAAGAAGTCTATGCATGACCTGATATTTTATTTGTATCCAAAATGAGGCGATGTGAACATTATGGAGTGCTTAACACTCTCATGCAGTCTATGTTTCATTCATGCTCGAAGCCGGAGGGCGCTCTCACACAGAAATTTCAAAATAGACTCATAGAAGTAATAACTTATGGCCCTTTCCCAAATCGCACCCTAATCCCTCGCGGTCTTCCTCCGAGTCCACACTTTCGTGACGTAATGCCACTTTGACTGTTGGGTAAGAAGTAGAGATGCACCGATTGCAATTTTCTTAGCCGATTCCGATTTCCGATTTTTTGGAAGTGTGACCTGCCGATACGATTTTCTTTCTAAGAACTATAATTGACAGCATATACGAACAAAAATCTATGCAAATTTAAATGTAAAATTATTTACATATAAGTTACAGATTTTCTCTCACTTAAACAACTCTCAAAATAAAGTGCTCTGTGACTGGAAAGAGGAAGAAATAGTTAACTTAAAATGAGTTGCTGTATGTAACAAAACAGATGTAATTTCCCACTGTTTATAAATGGTCATTTTCCCCCCTAACCTTATTAAATGTGTCATCTTTCACATCAAATTCTTACTTTGTTTCAATTAATTCAGTTAGAATAATAAGAAACTGTAGAGTTGTTACCATTCAAATGAAATTAGTATTAAACTCTATCTTTCCACTGCTGAGGAAACAGAAGCTGCGTCTGAAGTGGCATTAGATGCATTTACACAGACAGTTTGATGAAGCTGAGGTGCCATAAATGCATTTACACTGCAAAATTTCAAATGCATAACTAATTTTATAAGATTAATGCTTTACATATTTTTTAAACACAAATAAATGTAAAAAAAATGCAATGATACTTTTAAATATGACTAAACCACCAGTAGGTGGCGGCAAATGTCTGTTTTAACGAGTGAGTCATTTATTCATTCATTCAACCGATTCATTCAAACGGCTGATTCATTCAGAAACGAGGCAAGTGACTGTCCTTATGAATGGGCCACTGAATCATTGACTCACTTGATTCGTTCAAGGATTCATTCAATACCGAAACAGGCTGTGTGTTGCTCGGAGACACACAATAGTTCTGCTGTGGCTTTGATCTGAACTATTTTCGTCAGCGAAATTGAGCAAAAAGTGTCAATATTTTGTCTAAAATCTAAGTCACTTAATTTTAACTTCTAGTTTATTGAAATACTATTGTATAAAATCAGTGTCACATTGCAATCGTGTTGATAATATTGATATTCGGGGAAACATCATGGCCGTATAATGTTGTTTTTTTAACAACCAAAAAGTTTTGTTGTCTGTTGTGGAAGAACAGACGTTCCTCTCGTTGATAGCAGAGGAGCGGATCCAGCGAGCTTGATGGGGCGACGCGGAATGAAAAAGTTTTTCAGGAGTTGCGGCAATAGAGGCGGCGCAACTATAACGACATGTGAATAATCCCGCCCACTCTAAAGCGGTACTGAACTGCAGTGGAAACGCAAACCGAGCCGTGCCATGCCGTGTCGTACTCGTACCTTAGTGAGCCGTGCCGAGCAGAGTCGTACTACGCAGTGGAAAAGCGCCATTTGTGTGTGCTCCCTCTCACACATTCACTCAGGCTGTGCAAGCCTCATCTGGCACGACATATACATTATCAGTCACCGTTTACACTGAATTCAATTAAAATTAGAATTATTCTCATGCGAAACGACATGTTTACACGTGACCGTGAGTGTGCGCGTGGCTGTAATGTCATTGCCGGCGCCGCTGGCAATAAAAGGATCGGCTCGGAATTGGTAAGACGTGAGACTGACCGGCCGGTCACCGATCCGGGCCAGTCATGCGAAAAATCGGCCGATTCCGATCACTGACCGGTCAATCGGTGCATCTCTAGTAATAAGTCTGCTGTGGGGCTCGCCAGAAGTGCACATGGAGGGCGCATAGCGGCCGCAAAGGGGTGCACTCGCAAGCACCCTTCTGAAAGCTAAAATGAAGAAACAGACATGAGCACGCGGCAGCCATTCTAAGTCCTCAAGTACGCAAGTGCACATGATCTGTGCCATTTGAGACATGGCCTATGATGTGCCAGGAAATCCCTAATATGGACAAAGGAATCCAGCTATGGCTATAGCTAAGCTGAATAAAAAAACAGAAATGTTTTGACTGATGAAACGTAAAGACAATAAACACAATTGCAACAATATATGGTTTATGTGAGTTTTTCAAGTCATTGCCAGGTAATAAATAATGTTTATGAATAATGCAGTGCTAACTGACATTTCATTACAGTATTGACAATTTATTACAGTATAGAAACTATAAAATATATTTTTTGCCTTATCCTGTGATAACACTGGAAAAAAGTGTTTATAGTATATAAACCAATCATAAAATTGTCATTAGGAAAATATAGGGGAAAAAATAATAGAATACAAATGATTGGTTATTGTCCAGTGTATTTGATTTCTTAGCCAATTAAAAGTAAGAGATAAGAAAAAATAAAACCTGTCAACTGGACAAAAAAAGGTATTACATTTGACATTTCTGTCCCCCTCACTTCTGGAATGATGGCTGTGCCCCTGATGTCATCTATCACCATCTTTACACTAAAAGAAAGAATCTAAAATGCAGTATATACACTACAAAATGATGCACTGTTTAATTTGGTATTTTCCATGGAAGTTACCATCAACTGGTTGGTTTTTTCATTTTTGGGCGAACTACCCCTTTAAATTTTGAAAAGTGAATTTAAGACATTTGAATGCTTTTTAAGGATCGGTGGACATCCTGTTGCTGGAGCACATCTCTATCTGTACATCATATATTAATTTAATAGATTTAAATGACTGTTCTAATAATCCTACAGACTAGTGAACTGAACACGTACCTGTCATGTCAGGCCAGAAGGCAGAGACATTCACAGCACTCAGAAAAAACTTCTGTGTGGTCAGGTTCTGCAGCAACACACAAAACATCCCGATTATCATTATATTTTGATTACAAGACATTCAGACACAGAAAGCACACACACACACCAGTGTGAAGGCGAAGGTGAGGTTGGTGAGATCCTCAGACAGCATCAGCGTGGCCCTGGGGACCCCACATGATCCCGAGGCTGTGGTTCTGTTGGGCTGCAGGTTCATGACTTTACTGACGGTCTGTGGAGGATCAGATCAAACATCAGCGGCGGTCAAACACATAACATCAGCAGGAAGTGACCGTGAGCATTTGTCACCTTGTTCAGAGACTTTGAGTGGTGCGTAATGTTGAGCTGCAGCCCCATGAGTGCCAACAGACAGGCAGTGCCATTGCCGTCGGTAATGGTGTAGTTTCCATGCTCCGGTGCGGGCAGTGGGACGGGTGACGGGGCAACAGTGGTTCTGGGTGATGGAGTCGGAGCAGCGGTCGTAACCGTCTGATCAGCACTGCAAACACTCTCTACACAAAAAACACATCAAATATATTCAAATAGTGCTTTATACAACACAGATTCAAAGCAGATTCACAGTGATAAAACAGGAAAATAACAGTGCAAATGTTGCAAAACTCATCAATTATGAAACTAATTCCATTTCAGCTGTAAAGCAGCTCTACAGAAGACAATAGTGTCATTATTCAGATCAATTTAGTTCAGTGACAGTGTCACAAACTAACTAAAGCATCACATAACTAACAGCTCCGGAGCACATTTACATAAAAGACACCCATGACATTTAAAGGGGTCCTATTATGCGTTTTCACTTTTTCAACTTTAGTTAGTCTGTAATGTTGCTGTTTGAGCATAAAAAAGATCTGCAAAGTTACAAAGCTCAAAGTCCACTTCAAAAGGAGATATTTTATTTAAAGGTGACATATTATGCCCCTTTTTACAATATGTAATATAAGTCTCTGGTGTCCCCAGAATGTGTCTGTGAAGTTTCAGCTCAAAATACTCCACAGATCATTTATTATATAATTTTGAAAATGCCTATTTTGAGTGGAAGCAGAAACACGCTGTTTTTCGGGCCTGTGTCTTTAAATGCAAATGAGCTGCTGCTCCCCGCCCCCTTTTCCAGAATAGAGCTGCGCCATTACAGCTCGGACCTGCTAAAAACATCTGTTTTGGTTCTGATTATCATGTTTATCGTGCGTTTTAAACCATATGAGTTTAAACTTCAGATATAAGGTTTTCTGAGCGCACACATCCGAAGCACACAGACCGAAAGCGGCTGTCACAGCATGTGAGTACTAAACTAAGTTCTTATTCACTCACAAGTTTACGTTAAAAACACACGAGTTACAAAAACAGTTGGTTATGTCTGTGAAGGTAAACAGCTGGGAAATAAATCGCTTGTTTATTTTAGATCTGTGTGGCAGCAGCAGCAATATACAGTAGCCTAAATAAATCAATAAATCCACTGCTCTCTTGCCTCCTCTGAGGCTGGGACTCTAAACGGTGTTCTGCGCTCGTCTGTGCAGCCAAAGACAGAACAGTTAGCATGTTTTGCTCAAACTTTCGCCATGGCATTAGAACTGGTACACCATTGTCGCTTCCGAAATCAAAATGACGGCGCTGTGAGTGGAAACTCTTACAGATTAAACCAAAACAAAGTTACTGGATTAATCTTTTTCACGTTTCCTTGGTTGGTAGATGCACCGGGGACCTGATTATAGCACTTAAAACCTGGAAAAGTCAGATTTTCATGATATGTCACCTGTAAATTAAAAAAATATACATATATATATACTGAATATATGGACATATATGACATATTCGCTAGTAAGATGCATTGTAGGTCTGTGTGAAACTAAATGGTATTGGTAAAATAAGATTTATTAAATTAAGTTTGGATTAAAACAATTTAAAAAAAATACCTGTGGGGGATGGTATTCCAGAATCTTCTCCATCAGGTTATTGTAGAGGTTGCTGCACATGGTCTCATCCAGAAAGGGCAAAGACCTTTAAACGTGGGTCAAGTGCAGTGCTCATATGAAGAAACTGCAGAAGTATTGAGTCAGATTCTGGGTATCTGTTGATTAAGTCGGACACAATGTCACGCTGAAATCATGCGTTTTAAACCATATGAGTTTAAACTTCAGATATAAGGTTTTCTGAGAGCACACATCCAAAGCACACGGACAGAAAGCTGCTGTCACAGCATGTGAGTACTAAACTAAGTTCTCATTCACACACAAGTTTAAGTTAAAAACACACGAGTTACAAAAACAGTCAGTTATGTCTGTGAAGGTAAACGGCTGGGAAATAAATCTCTTGTTTATTTTAGATCTGTGTGGCAGCAGCAGCAATATACAGTAGCCTAAATAAATCAATAAATCCACTGCTTATGTCGGAGACACGCTAGCTTTCCCAAGGCTGACGAACTTAGAGTGATTACAATCATCCGGGTTTAAATCGCGCTCAAATTGATTTGATATTGACGCAATATTTACACTGAAGCTGCAGGTGGCTATGGTAAAGGGGCATGACATTTCCCAACTAGGCGCCGAGTGCTGCCAATCACAGCACACACTGGCCCAGCTAACCAATCACAGCACACACTGGCCCAGCTAACCAATCACAGCACACACTGGCCCAGCTAACGCGGGCCTTCATTTGATACATTTCAGAAGGCGGGCCTTCATTTGATACAGGAACTATTCGAGCCGTTCATGCCAGACTGGGGAGAGAGGTGTTGTAACAATGTAAACTATGAAAAATAATGTGTTTTTCGAA